CGCTCTTCCTCCCCGCTGGACTCTGGTCAGGACTTTTGACCAACTGACCAGGACCAGCCTACAGAATCCAGGAGTGTCCTAGCCAAACCGAGACATACGGTCACCCTAATTAGGAAGAACATGAACTCAATTGCTTTCAGGTTCATGTTGGCCTTTCTAATCTATAAATGAGGTGCAAGAGAAAATCATCAAATTAAGCTGTATCCATTCATAAGGAACCTAATATTGGTTTAGGCAGACAACAAATGAACTGCTGAAGATGAAAGTAGAGTGTCAAAGGGAAAATTCAGTATTTTGACATTCAGTTTTTGTTCCTGTTCAGGGCTGCCTAGGGAGCCAGGTGGTCTAAGAGGTGGGAAACTTGAGAGTATATGACCCAGGAAGTCCTTTTGGCAGGGTTGCCTTGAAGTCGTGGGCTCTGGAAAGTCTGTTACAGAGTTTCTAGGTCCTGGGTTTGCATTAGGGGCAGTAGAAGACCAGTGAACCCTGTTTCAGTCTTGGATTTTCAGGGCTCTTTGGCTCCCTAAGGAAATTGAGACCAAAACAGTGTTTCCCAGGGCTTCCAGGACAGACAGACTCAGCTGTATGGCAGGGCACCTGGAGCCTCTAAGAGCCCTGACTTATGCCAGGATTATCAAAGCTTTCGAGCTCCCTATTCCAGAATTGTGAGCTAAGACCTACTTAGACTCTGACACAATACAGCTGTGCTAGGACCATCAACCCTGAAAACCAGGCAAGTTTCCCTGGAAAACCTGCATGCAATTTGCAGAAAGTTTAATCAAACCTGAAGGGTCTTCATGAAACACTTTGGGCCCAAATTTTGTATTATAAGTCTATCCAGACTACTATCCTTTGGCACTTAATTTACTTGCATCTGTTTGATTTTAGTTGGCAAAGAGCAATGTTTACTGCATGAAGAGGGCCATATGATCACCTAGACTACAAGAGCAGTTTATATATACAGGTTTCATTTGCCAGCCACTGGAGTTAGGTTCGTGAAAGTTCCCGTGGTTGGCAAAACTGTGGTTGGCAAAACAAAAGGCTTATGGGAAAAATGGCAGTTGGTGGGCTGATGTGCAGCCACAGACAACAGTGGTTACTCAAAACTGTATACCGTGATAGCCAAAATGGTATACAGAATATTAAAGCATGGATACGCAAAACCGTGGTTGGTGAGGGAAACCTGTACAAGCACAGATTAAATCATTGCATATACTGTTATTTTACTCAACTTTATCCTTTTTCCTCTGTTGCACTGCAAAAAGCTGAAGAGCTAAGCTGCTTTGTTCTTAGAAGCTACTGATTGAAAAATAGCTGTGGGCTTATAACCTGGAAGCAGATCTGGGGAAACTTAATTTGGAGTTGGATTTGAACTTTGTGACTTCTTGTCTCTCTCAAATGAGTAAAACCTAAGCCCTCAGAAACCTGACCTGAAGCCAAATACCACCTGTAAATGCAACACTGACTGGTTAGACGAGTGTTCACCAGTACTTTGCCACTCCCATGCCTTCTGTGAAAGGACATTTATTGTGAACCACATACCTACCATTGTAGTCTGTGATTCCTGCATAGTGCTTCAGAATGAGGTTAGCCTCCCTTGACCTCACTAACCTGCCATTAGGATCTGAGGAGAAAGTCTCTCCCAACCCCCACCAGTCTATCCCTCTGCATATGAACAAGAATTTCTTCTTACAAAAGCTTCTGATTCTGTTTATGACTCAAGAAACCATTGTCTCCCAAGTAATTGTACATTGTAGAATCTAAAAGTTCTTTCTGTCAATACCACTGTATAGCAGTAATTGGAGAGATGTTTGATAAGCTTGCAAATACAAAGTGCCCTTCCTCTGATCTGGAAAATAAGTAGATACAGCCTAAGCCAAAGAAAAAATAATATAACAATTTTTATTTCAGGGGTCTGTGTCCTATGGCCTGTGGGGCATATCCAGCCCATAGAGCTATTGGATTTGGCCTGTGGATCTGGGGGCTTCAGCAGTGTTCTAGTAGTGGGTGGCATCAGTGGCATTCTAGTGGCAGGGACTTTGCCTGTATTATGCCACACCTAGAGAGCAAGGAGTTTCACCTGGGATGTAGCTGTGCAGCTGGGGGCAGGGATAATAGGTGACAGGGGCCAGGTCCTACTGCTGGCCTACCTTAGACCAGACCCAGGCCATTCTGGCCCACTGCTACAAAAAGGTTGCCAACCACTGCATTATGTAAATGAATATCAGAGGCATAACTAGGGTGGGGCAGCCAGTGCAACTGGCCTTGGTGCCAACTATGGGGTGAAGTCACCACTACCCCCTTTGCCTGCCCCAGGCACCCAGCCACATTGCTATGCCTCTGATGAAAATAGTCACTTGGAAAAGTGGAAGAGGACTGCAAAGCTGTGGAGCAAAGAGCAAGTATCAAACGTAGCACAAAACAAGTAAAGGGCAGCTGAAATAGGTAACATGATTATATAAAATTTAAAAAGTATTTGATAATGCAAGAACTAAAACGATGTGTAATGTACAGTCTTCTTTTCCTCCTTGAAGTGACTATTTAAATGTATATAATAGAACTAAACAAAAGACATTGCTTTTCCTGGTATTTAGCTTAGGCTTCCTTCCCAGACCTGAGAAAGGGCACTTTAAACCTCAAAACTTGTCTAATGTCTCTCCCAGGCTAAGTACAGATATTTGGGGAGATTAGGGGGATGTTAGATTGTGTTTAAAATGGCCAACCGATCAAAGGTAAGTTGGGATGGGAGGGGCTAGATGACTTCTGTACTGCTATGGGTTTAGATTGATTTCCAATCACTGAGTCCAGGTCTAAGTGTAAGGTCCACACCTGGGTGAACTAAGTTAGGTGGGGTGGCCATTTTTTACCCAATCTTACTTCCCTCTGACCCTCCTCAAACATCTTCACTTAGGTCCAGCTATACAGTTGGTTCAACAGAAGATACTACCAAAAAACCCTTTGCCTTCTACATATTCTCTGGACCATCGTGACTACAACAACACTCCAACCCTATTAATGCTACTGTAGGCAGGAAATTTCTAAATGCTGGTAACTCTGGGAAGATGGACAATTTCCCCCGTAGATATTTAATCCAAATGTAGTAAATTATAAGCTACTCTGAGCATTTTTGCACAGGGAGTAGGGGATATAAATCTAAATAAGAATAACAACAATGAATTAAACTCCTCTGGAATAGTATAATAGATCATCAGTACCAGCTGGAATAGAAGTTGCCCAAGAAGAATGCGATGTAACAGCACATAGAGCATGCTATGGTCCATTTGCAGCCCAGCTTCTCAATTAGGAATGGAGGTAGAAACATAGAAGAGATGATAAGAGCAGCATAGAGAACACTCAGTGAGGCAACGCCCAGGCCTTCTTCAGAGTTGAGGCTGCTCTGTGTAGGCAAAAACAACAAATGACATGGAATTTAGTTTACGTCATGTAAAATATGGTGAGAAGGGAAGCTCAGGTAGCTGGGACATCAGTGTTTGCAAAACCACAGTGGGAAGGATGGCAGAGACTGGGAACATGAAAGCCATCACTCAGAAATAGGAAAGAAACTAGATTGAGATTTAAACAATGCCTGCCCTTCAGAACCCTAGCAACCTCATTCCCAGGTTCTGGTTTAAGTATAGGGACCCTTTGCATAGATCTGACAGAGATTTAGGTTTGGATTATAAATAATCTTAAAGTCGAGGAGGCAGAATGGGGCTCAGATCCAGGGTTTTAATTCTGAGACCAGCTGTTACTGCTTATGTTTTTAAGTCAGGACTGTCCAGCTTCTAAGCCGGGGCTGCTTGCTGTGTGAACTGCACCAGTGGGAGCCACTGACCCCCAGGGCTATATAATGCATGGGAGCGCTGGGTGGTAGCAGGAAGCAGAAGCAGGATGAGGGAGGAGGAGCCCAGAGACCCCCAGCTGCTGCTGCAATAGGAGTGATGGAGGCAATAGTGACTGGACAGGAACTCAGGGAGGGACTGCAAATTAACCTCTTGAAGTAACCTGCATGTAGCCCAGAGGTCACCAGTTGGACAGCCCTAATTAAAGTGATTTGATTTTTATTTCCAGAGTTATCTGATTTAAGCAAATTCTATCTACTCTATGTCTTTCTTTTAGGTTTGGCCCCGAAACCTTCTTGAATCTTAATTCCAAGTGGCTTTCCACTACAGAAAATACTTTGGTGCAATAAACATCATGGTGAAAGCTTAGGGTTAAATCCTATTTCACCTTTATGGGCTGGGCTGGAGTGATAAATGTATAAATACAATTTTTGGCACATATGCAACTTGAAGACGCTGTTCCCACCCATATTGGAACATGATTGCCCCAGTATGCATATAGCTGCTGGAAGTAACATGGAGGAGGCCCCATACACCCTTTTTTGCCTATAGTTTAGAGGTGAGGGCACTTGCCTAAGGAAATTGGAGACTGAAGTTTCAGCCCCCTTTCCTACAGAGGGGCTTTGAAGCTGTATCCCCCACTTCACAGCAAAGTGAGATAGTTGCTGCCTTTGCAGTGAGCCACTCTGGGGGCATTTGTACATGTTTGTGCCACATGCATTTGCATAAATGAAAAAATGCACATCAGCACTACAAAAATGGTGACGGCATGCTTATGAACTAAAACACATCGAAGGTGTTTTAGTTCCAAATCACACTGCCGCCATATTCTCAGCACTGACACACATTTCGCCATTTATACAAATGCGTGTGACACAACGCCGAGCACGTCAGCTCAGTTAATCAAGCCTGCGCCATCGCATCAGATCTCCAGCGTGTCAGAGCACACAAATGTATGTGTGTAAATGCCCAGTGTCCTGGCCTATGCCCCTGCTCTATGTCCTGTATTTAATGTTCACTAGAGAATCAGTGGTGGAATAGTATTTATCTCATTGGGAACCAGAATCTAGGACTCACCCTTCCAGGGCAGCGATCATCTTATTTAGCCACATTCCCTCTAGCTTATGCTTCTCTGAGCTCCACATAGTTTCCCCTCCTGGGGGCCTATCAGGTCAACTTCAAAGAAATGGTGGAGAACACTGGCCAATGCCTAGCACGTGGCCTGCTGGTTTGAGCACTTTGCTAGGAAGTGAGAAATATTGGTTCAAAGCTGGGAGGGCTTTCCTCTTCCACCACAACTCCTACTCATGAGTTTTCAAATTATTGGAATGTAGTGACCTACAGAGTCAGTGCCTGTTAGAAGATAACCTGCACCTGAAAGGGAACAGCTTTGCAACACCATGAAGGCACTTAACACATGTGAACTGCTAGAATGTGCATTTGCTCACCTTTTAACTGCTATTAGTGAGTGTTAAGTTGAATGTGTGATGCCACCCTAACATTTTGGGGATCTCATGGTGTCGCTTGTATGGCTGGGAAAGTCTGTTCTATCAGGGAGCCTATGCAGCTGGAGTGGAGCTTCTGTAGCAAAGCAGATAGAAATTGAATTATGTGTAAATGCCAGAAATTGCACTTATGCATCTGCATAAGTGCCACTTGGGCATGTAAAGTTGAAATAGGATTTAGCTCTTAGACTCTGGAATCAAAGATTCAAGACTTCAAGCAATTTTCCAGGCATCTAATTCTCTACAGTCCAGAAACTCATGGTTTTCAGTAGTTGAAAATAGCAATTCTTAGTCATACACACACACAGACACACACGCCCATATTTACACAAATCTACGATGAGACTGAATTTAGGATGAGCTCCCTCAAATAATTAGATTCTATACATGGAAAAAATAAGTTATAATGTCCATATATAGAATCTAATTATTGGAGGGTTGTCTTCAATTCTTCCTCCACACCTCTGCAATGGCAGCGAGGCAAGTGGTGAGGCAGTCAGTGAGAGGGAGGCAGTGGGGGTGTCAAGCAGCCTGACCCTGTCCCTTGCTGCCTGTCTGCCCCCCCACCGCCCACTGCCTGCCATTATGCTACCTCTGCCTCACCCAGTCCTTGACCATGTCCCTAGTTACTACAGTAATACAAATAAAAAATAACTATGAGCCAGATGATATATGCTACTTCTATAAGCAGAAGTTTTAGGGTTGGAACTGGAAGTAAATAAGACTTTTAATTCTGTGAGGAAGTTCCAAACATTTTGAAACATTTTCCTTATAAATTGGAAAATCCAAAAACTTTGAAATTTCATAGATTTCATAGACATTAGAGTCAGAAGGGACCTTGGGAGATCATTGAGTCCAGCCCCCTGCTCCAGGGGCAGGAAGTCAGCTAGGGTCAAAGGATCCCAGCAAGATAAACATCCAAACGTTTCACAGGGGAAGTCTATTCCAGGCCTTGGGGGCTTGGACAGTTTCATAGTTTCATAGCTGGTAGGTCGGAAGGGACCTGAGCAGATCATCAAGTCTGACCCCCTGCCATGGGCAGGAAAGAATGCTGGGGTCAAACGACCCTGGCAAGGTGTTCATCCAGCCTCCTTCTGATGACCCCCAGGGTAGGAGCGAGCACCACTTCCCTAGGAAGTTGGTTCCAGATCCTAGCCACCCTGACTGTGAAGTAGTGCCTCCTGATGTCTAGCCTGAACCTACTCTCAGTCAACTTATGGCCGTTATTCCTAGTTACTCCTGGTAGTGCTCGGGGGAACAGGATCTCTCCCGTTCCCCACTGATCCTGTAGACCCTGAGATGGTGCAGAGTCACTTGGAAGAACTGGATGCCTTTAAGTCGGCAGGCCCGGATGAGCTCCATCTGAGGGTGCTGAAGGCACTGGCTGACATCATTGCAGAGCCACTGGCGGGAATATTTGAA